TGTGTTCCGTACCATATTCAATGGCTTTCTGGAAGCAACCCACCAGGTGTGTCTTCCGTGAGGCCTCTGGGTGGGTGTGAACCGCCAACCATTCAGTCAGCAACACGCAAAGCATCTGTTACCACAGAGAATCCCCATGCCTGTTGTTGTCTACTGTCACCTATCGAACTGATTCCCATTTGAAGGAGGACTGGGTGACTTAAAAGGTTAGCTGACAACTGAGGGGGCCGTGAGTTCACATTTATGGGGAAGGCCGACTCAGAGCATGACGGTGGGGATGGGTGCCCAAGTCAAGGGATGGTATCAGTGTCACTGAGGGAGGGAATCCACTGTCAACCACTCAGGGGGATCCATGGAGGAGATCCTGGAGAGATCCTGGGAGAACAACGTGCAACAAAACTCAGAATCATATAAAAAAATAAAAGGACCCAGTTTGCTGGTCTGGTAAGAGCCTGATGGAACTCCTAACACTATGGCCCCTAGCTGCCCTTCAGGTCAGTAAATGAACCCACTCCTGTGGCTTCCAGCCAAACAAGAGACAGGCATATGAGGCGAACATTTACGTTAGGTAGACACACTCCTTGTAGAGATCAATCATGGGAGACTAGAAGGGCTGTGTGTGCACAGGGAGACAGCTCAGGGTGCAGGGGTGCCTGGAGGGATGGACACAGGGAAGAGGTAACTATGGGGAGGAAGGGAGGGGAGCTGCTGTATTGTGGGAAACTGTAGTCAATAAGGCATTTGACTGCTAACCAGAAGGCTGGTGGTTTCAAAGCCATCAGCTACTCTTTAGAAGGAAGACTAGGCAATCTACTTCTGTAGTGATACCACCTCGGAAACCCCAGGAGGGGTCGCTATGAGTTGGATCTGACTTGATGGCAGGAAGCTTGTTTTTTTTTGATTTTTGGTCATGAGACAAAGTGTATGTGAACTACTGTGTGGAAAACGATTTTGCTCTGTAAACTTTCACCCAAATCACAATTTAAACAATCAAAAAAATATGACAGCCTTGGAGACCCCATGGTGCAGTTCCACTCTGTCCTCTAGGGGCGCTGTGAGTCAGAATCTACTCCATGGCTGTAGGTTTGGTTTGGGCTTTGCTTCTGTGAAGACTGACAGCCTTGGAGACCCTGTGGGGTCGGTCCACTCCGTCCCCTAAGGGTGTTGTCAGTTGGAAGTAACTTGATGGCAATGGGTTTATTTTATCAACTGCTCAAAAGAGATAAATTCCACCCACTGATGGTTCTATACAAGCTCGTGTGGGAAGGTGCACGTGAAATGGCCTCTCAGTGAACCTTCAGAAGGAACACAGCAGAGCAGGGCGGTCCACTGTTCCCACACGGAGGCTGACGCTCCCGGGCCCATTAGTGCCTGTGCCGGGCAATGGTTCACTTGAATACGGCCTTTCTCCCCACGGTCTTGTGATGCAAGCCCAATGACGAGGTGGGCCCATGCAAATAAGGTGCCTGTGGCCCACCGAGGGATAAGGTGCATGGAATCCTGCAGGCGTGCGACTGTGCAAATAAAGTGTATGCAACCCTCACGAGGGATCGGTCGGCGTTGCCATCCCGCTAGGCTTCAAATGAGCTAACCCAGAGGCAGAGAGTGGGGATCTGACCACCGCCAAGAAGAGACAGGAGCAGGGTGTGTCCTCTGAACCTGGGGTCCTGGCCCTGGGACTTCCCAGGAGGCAGAGGACTGACCAGAGACGGTGACGGACGGCGAGAAGCAGGGGCAGACACACGGCGGAGGCAGGACCGGGCGGAGGCAGCGACGGCCGGTGGGTCTGGGCCCAGTCCCAGGAGCGGGAGGGCTGAGCACCTCCGGGCCGGAGGCTTGTCCCCTGGGTGGGGTGCCTCCGGGCACTTGGCAGCGCTGGGTTTGCTAACCCACGGATTCAGAGCGGAGCACCTCCCGGCCCAGGCTGGGTGGCAGAGCGTGCCTCTGGGCACTCACAGGCAGACCTCACAGAAGTTGGTAACGCCGGCCGAGCAGGGCACAGGTGAGGCCGAGGGGCCGAGGGCCAGAGGGAGCTGGTGGGGGCCGCGCGGAGCAGAGAGTGCCGACTGAGGCGCGCATCCTGAGCAGCCGCGGAACCTGAGCTGTGGCCGGAGCGTCCCTGCTTGGCCCACGACCACGAGGACGTCTGTGAGGTGTGTGGTGAGTGAAGCAAATGACTGAACCCAGCAGAGAAGCAGAGAGTGCTGTGGGCGGGACGGCTGGCGTCAGCGTCGGCAGAGAGGCCCCGGAGAGGAGGGCTGCCTGGCGTCTGCCTTGCGGCGATCAGCCCTGGGCTCCGGAAGCTGAGGGTGACCCTCCTGCCCCAGCGAAGCCAGACGAGGTGGTGAGACGCTGCCGCCGGACTGTTTTCACATCGTGCTGTTCCTCAAACTGCACCGGCTGCCGCCAAGTGGATGCCAACTCACGGCGACCCCATGTGTGTCAAGACAGGACTGTGCCCCACAGGGTTCGTGACACTGATGTTTCTGGAAACAGATTGACAAGGCTTTTCTTCCAAGGAGCCTCTGGGTGGACTCGAACTGCCAACCTTTCAGTCAGCGGCCGAACGTGCTCACCATTGGCAGCACCTGGGGCTCCCCAGGCAGCCTCCATCAAGGTGACAGAGACTCACGGTGCTGTCACACACGGGAGAGCGGAACCGCGCGCCATGCGGGTTTTAAGGCTGTGTGTGACTTTCTGGAAACACATCTGCAGGCCTCCCTGCCCAGCACCTCCCGGTGCACTCGAACCACCAACCCTTCGGTACGCAGCAGAGCACAGCGACCGTGTGCAACACCCAAGGCCTCCTTCCCCAAACGAACGGTCAAAGAACCTTTGAACGAAGGTGGCCCGGGCCACGGAGAGAAGATGGCCACTGCTGGTTAGCTTGGGAGGCATTTCCGTTCAACAGCGTTAAACAAGCACTCTAACAGGGAGCCGTCTCACGATGCTCAGTGACCTTTCTGAATGTCGCACAGAACCTCTGTGACATACACTATGTTCTCTGAATGACTCGACACGGTCACAGGTGGTTCTGGGACAAAAGTTACCATTCACATCTCCTTCCCGTTCCCTCTGCTCCGAAGGCCTCAAGTGAACAGGTAAAAAGCAATACAGACACAGCACATGTCAACACCCAGATGATCTGGGTCCTCCACCCCCTCCAAAACTATCCAATGCATAGGAGATGATGAAAAACCATAAACCATACTTCTGTGATGTTTGGGTGAAGAGGTTCTTGGGGACAGGGGAAAATAAAACACATCTGAAAATAAAAATGATAAACTCTGCAAAGTATAAACATTTACACGCAGGCACGACTCCTGTATGTTGTAAGCTCTTCTGTGCACGCACACACACACACACACACATCATAAGCTCTTCTGAACACATGCACGTGTGCACACACATGCATACCTACTGATTACAATGGAATGAGCAACTTTTGTCCAAACTTGCAAAGTTCAAGCCAGGAGGAAAACAAATACAGGCGGCAGAGGGGAGATGACGCCTACAACCAAACCATGTCTGGTTTGTTTTGTGTTTGTGTTTTGAAACTTCCTACTGTGCAGGGCGTTTCCAGTTGTGGAATGCAGGTCCATGGATTCCAACTGCTCTCCGGCCGCAACAGACAGGTGGACAGACATCAACACGGGGCCGTCCTCTGTCCCATGAAGGCAGCTCTTCAAGTTTGCATAGGTGGGTATCTTTGCTCCAGGAAGGTCCCATTCTCCCTGTTTTAACAGGAAATAAGACAGACTTCGTTACTTTTTGTTATGGACTAAATTGTGTCTCCCAAAACCAGGTGTAAATCCTAACCCCTACAAAACCAACCAAATAAAAAAAAATCCCATAGCTGTCCATTCTGACCCACAGCGCCCCTAGAGGACAGAGTGGAACTGCACCACGGGGTCTCCAAGGCTGTCAGTCTTCACAGAAGCAAAGCCCAAACCACACCCACTGCC